ACTCCGATACACAAAGTATTAGGATAAATCGGTAGGCTCTGGTGAATGTCACGCTTCTCTTGGGTACTGCTCGCGAATACTTATGAGGCCATAAGGCAAAGCATCGACTTACATTGCTACTTACGTTAACAGTATATGATCGTTAAAGGCTATCAAATATTATAATAATCACCCAGTTTATTTCACAATGAACAGTATCAGCCGTACTACAATGGATGCCAAGCATTGCGGTTCGTGCGGTGATTAGGCGAGTCATTACGCCTCCTGCAGAGACTACTCAAAAATAGTTATTGCTCCAGATACTCGTTCAAACCGACCGAAGAAACATTCTGCTTCATTGTCATCGAAACGTCTTTGTTCAAGCATTCTTGGGTCATTATAGTCGATCAGTTGAAATATATCGTCGTAGCTGACGTGAGGCATCTTAACAATATGGCGGGAGGCAACCCTTCGTGCATATGACTTTATCGCCCCCCAGCCTGTGCCTCACGCCAGCAAAGTATGTTTTTTCTGGTGTTTCATTTTCATTGTATAGCATCAGCTCTGGTACATACAGCGCTAGGTATTACATGTTTCAGTGAATTAGTACACAAGGTAGCCAAGAGTGGCTTCTTGCTGATAGCTTAACGACGCAGGAAAAGAGGAGACAAGGAGAAACGGTTATCTACTTCCGCCAGAAAATTCTCTTTTAAAAAGAAACTAACCAAGCTCGCACATGCTTCCCCAGCGTCATATTAGGCTAAATTTCATAACGTTTTTCGTGAGTGATTCTTTCGAAAGCGAATTTCAGTTCTACACATACGCAGTGAAAGCTTCTCATCATCCTAGATCAGTGCTAGATTATCATATGTATCTAAGATTTGCACAGCAGGGAGAGGTTTGGACACATTTGGAAAATGGTCGTTGTAGCTGCCTGTGCTGTTGTGGGCAGTGCGAGAAGGTTATACTGTCTGGAACACTGGCATGCTGCCGAAATGAAGGTAACCAGACATTTTCCGCACTAAGCGCATTCTTTATTGCGCCTATGAACCGAGCTGATGATGACGATACAAAAATATGCCCCATTTTCGAGCAGTTGTCAAATTCGTCGTTAGATGCCAGTAGCTTCGCTTCCAGTAGTTCATCGATTCTCTCTAGTCGTTCATGCTGTATGGTCAATTACTTGTTTTTGATTGCAGTTTGATCATCTGACAAGCCTGTAACGTAAAAAGAAAAGCAATCTAGACTCCCTCATCAATTTACTCCGAAAAATCGCTTGCAGGGACCATTGCATTCTGGCACCTGTAGCTCTTTTCAACTTCACCTGTTTTCTGCTTCAGAGTATGTTTGAAGACGTTGAATTGACGGAATCTTTTCAACTACTGGATCGGAAATTTTGGACTTTACCACGATTTCCTCATGTTTCTAAACGGATCATTTCTTACTTCGTCTTTGTCGCTTATCGCTGCTTATGCGTTTTTTTTTCACTACTTAACCTAAGTTTACCGCTGAAACTGAGCAGATTTGCTCGGAACGCCACAAGGAAGCTATCAGAATTAGGCTACCAAATTTTTAATTACCCACCTCACAGTACGGCTGCCACACATAAAGAAGACATTTTAGAAGTAATTTTGAAAAGTTCGATCCAAGGATGTCCTGCGTTTACGTTAATTAGCCAATTCATGGTGTGCCTTAAACTGAGAGACTTTTTCTGTCACTCCGATTGCTGGTTGTCGCAGTTCTGACTTCAAAACGCTTGGTTACGGGCAACGATTACGTATTATACGAAAACGACTATGTAGCATAGGTTTGACTTCGAATAGACAGGACTCTAGTCGAAGTATATATAGAGAGATGAGATAGTATCCACAAGTAGACAGGTTACGGCGTCTAAATTGGGAAAAACGTTAGTCAACTGCATGTTGCAACAAGTTCATCCGCTCCTTCAGGTGTCAGGCAAAAGCCGCTTGTTTAATAACAATGCATCATTTTTGGAATTTGAACGAAGGCCAAGTATTATCCGATCTCTAATCAGCCCTTAGCAAGACCACAAACCCTTTGGGCTATCCCAAAATCGAAAATGTACTGGGTTGCAAATGACTATGAATCTATACGGACGCGTTGTATATTGTGAAAGTGAAATAGCTGCTCTTTCGAGAACAACGAAATCCCCAGATATGATCGGTGTTAATTGCTCCTCGGTTATATCAGGGGCAAAACGACAGGTCATCTTTGACGATTCCTCTAACGAAAAATTCGCATTCTTTCAAGGAAATTTCGTGTTTCGAGTGTGCTGTCCAAAAGTTATACATATTTCGAAAAGGCGAACACACCACTAAAAACGTATCTGCGTATTCTAGAAACTTTTATACAACCGTAGACAGCTGATATGTCTGGAAAAAGACCAGGCATCTTTCAACAAGATGGTGTATTGTCCTAGGGATGGCGGCATGTTTTAAGATGAGTACATAAGGCAGAATAGCCTAAATCTAAACTCGTTAGATTATTATGTATGGAAAGCTATTGGGCTGTTCTCAACATAACAACGTCAAAGAGACCGCCCGCAAAATTGCAAACGGCGGCTTAGAACTTCAATCGAAGCTGTAACAGTAGCGCGTTAAATAAACGCGAAAAAAATTAAGCTGAGATATTTGTTTTCATTTAGGCCGAGACCCAGGAGCACGGGACAAAAAGAGGTCCCGGTGTATATATACTACAATTTCGTCATAGGGCTCATACATACGAATACTAGTGGCCTGTTGACAAAGTACATCAAATGCTTTTCAATAGGAGCAGTAAGCTGCACACATAATTTATTTGCTGGATTTATAAATTACGTTGAGAAAATATATTATCATACGAGTGATAGTAGTTGACAATGGGGGTTAGTGATAGTATAGCTTCGCTCCCTAGAATTCGTTCTGTCATCACGGTCTCGCGATGCGTAACATACACCATATTAAGTTATACCCATGATTAGATACGGACATTATCTTAAAACAGCTTGTAAGTTTTTCGAAATGCACGTTGTGCACGATGACTAATGTTTCGATAGATGTATGTGCTCTTATCGTGTTAAAAATTGCTTTTTAGAGTAAAAAAAAAAGTGGTAATAGGTAATATTATTTTTACACTGGAAATTACCAACACAGACTCGTTGTCCAAGAAAATTGTGATATGCGCCTATCAAAGAGTTAGTTAACAGCTGACTATCGACGAAGATTTCCACGACATAAAGAGGTGCCGCTTATCAATTTTGTAAAATTGTTCCACTAAGGTAAGCTAAAGAAGTACAGCCAAGACAAGTTACTATATATATATTGTATTATCGGCTGTGGATCTGTTCCGTACAACAAGCCATGTTGACACGCTAACCCACTTGTCACGAGCAATATGTTTCAGATACCGTATGCATATTATGACAAGCATGTCTTCTACTACTAAATAGTTGAAGTTGACCTATTTGAAATGATGTTGCATTTTCTTAATCGGTTAGTTAGTTAAGTTGCTAAATTTATTCGGCGATACCAAGCTCTCATTAGGACCGAAACCAGCTAGAGAAGCCATAGTTGCAAGCAAATCTAAATTGATCAGTTATGAAAGAACTGAGTACACGAAAAGGGAGGATAAGTTTTTGTAAGCCGAAAGCCTTGCGTTCATTACGTTGGTTTGGAAGATCGGAGCAATCGGCAAATGCCCATGAGAAAAAACACAAAAATACTCGTTTCATCTTTTTTTTTTTTTTCTCTCAAATATACATTTTGTGAGCAGATTCTGTGTTTATATAGAGTTCAGTATTTGAAAAATTAGTAAAAACTGGTTGAATATACAGATAGATAAATCATATAAGTACGCTTAATGTTCGAGGAAATATTTTGGCGTCAAAGTTGATGGAAAAGTGGCTTAGCAAAAAGCAATTTCAATGATAGGGGTATCTTCGTGTAAATTTGATTTCTCTCTAAAGACGATCCCGATATAGAACCTGCCCTTTGCCCGTCACAGGCTACAGACTAGTCTTAGAGAAATGCATACGTAAAAGTTAAGTTATAAGGTGGATAAAATCTGCAAGAAGAAAATCCGTCCTACAAATCTACTATGTAGTAGCTGACTTTGGGCACTGGTATTAAAAAGACCTGGGAAACGTTGAGAGTCGTGGAACGAATAGAAAAATGTATCGATAAGACCCTTTGCTTTGATTTTCTACATCGTCTATGAAACAGTCATTATGTGGCCATTGCTAAAGCCGTCATTACAAAGGAGCAACTAATGTCACTGAAAGCGTTTGATCATACATTGATAATGTTTTATTTTGCACAGCCGAAGAAAGAAATCGATATAGTATAACTCCTACAATATTTCTTTGTCTGAAGAAACATTTCGCAATATTTCTACTGAGTTTCCTTTATCTTCGATTCATTATAAATCGAGATTATGATCACACCTTAGATCCAAGTATATATATATATATAAGATGGCTGATATTCTATCTGCAATAAAGCTTTGTGTCTCCTCCTCCTCCTCCGGCATAGTCGCCATATCCTAAATAGAGGGGAAGCCGACAAAACGTCGGTGTCTGTTATAGGCGAGTTATGCGCCTCCAGTGTACTTTTTATAGCGCGATATATTGAATCTTTACTATTAGAAAAAGACGCTATTGTGGGAATTCAGTATAGTTTTCACAATCGTAAAATCCTTTGACTTACTCGAGATGACTACTCAAAGGATATCGTATCATTGGGAATGCGTGCAAAAAATAATCTTTGTTTAGACCCGCTAGAATCTTCTGGGTCGTCTCAGAGCCTTGACACCTACTTCAACAAATGCCTTCAGATATTATTGATATACTATCAATTTCAGGCACAACCGATATTTCGGCTGCTAATCTAATAAGATTGAGTTTTTTTTGCATCTAGTATAATTGCTACGCTTAATTGATGTTAACGTTTGTACGCCATGCGAACATAAACTCATATTCAGAAGACGAGTGTTTTCGGCCTGTTCATGTTTGTCTTGAATTTCAGAGTGTCCAACGTGTATTTCTCGTTAAGTCACGGATCGTTAAATCCTGGGTGTCGGTGATGCCGTGCATGATGCCCCTAGACGAAAACGAGCAGCGCGTGCGTCTGGTAATCCTAGGTGGTCCGAAAGTGGGTAAAAGCTGTCTTTTGCGCAAGTTTTTATTCAACACATTTCCTGACAAGTACCGTCCAACCGTCGAAGACATGTTCTTCAAGGAGTTCAACCTCGAACACGTTACACTGAAAGTAAGTGCACTTGCTTGGACATTTAAGCGAGAAAACTTATATAGTTCGTAAAACTTCAAAGAAGTGTAAATTCAATAGCAGCGGCTACGAAGATGTTTTAGTTCAAAAATAGTTTTTACCAGACTACTATTTTATCCGTCTACTTTTAAAATCTACAACCTAAGAGTGGCTGCCACAGTTAGATAACTTCTTCAGACCGACTGCACGTGAAGAAAGTCAGGCATGTTACTTACAAACTTGTCAACACTTGTCCGATTCGAATACTTTAGTGGTTTTTTGCGCCTGAATACAGTTCATTCGTCTTCATACCTTCTATCTGTGCCTACTTTTTTAATATAAGGTGCAGTTGAGACTAATAAGCTATATTTAAGTAGTATCTAATTCGAACACAAATTAGTTACAGCTGAAGCTATTCCTTAAAGAATGCTTTCACATTCTATCCGATAAAAATGTTTTTCTCTCCGGACTAATTACATAAATCATTAGTGGCGTCAGTCTACCTAGGAGTAATTGATTCGTATGCTCAAAGTGCCCCTTCTGAACCTAAGTGACAATACATTTGAATTTATTACGTGGTCTTTCACTGTTACAGGTGAACCAGCATTGAATATTATCCCTCCAAGGGATGCGGTAACCATTTCAAGCGCCTATAGGACCTAAGAGCTATAAACAATGCAAGATGTTTCATTTGGCCTTTTACTTTCTTTCTCAATATATAGATCACAAAGGAACAACGCAAAGACTTTGCAAGTCCGCACCGCGGTCTTTTTAAATCTAACGTTTAGTCGGGTATCCAGAAATGCCTCCTTTCAGTGTTTAATTGCAATTAACAAGAAAACTTTAAGTGTAATGGGAACAGGATCATGGCGTATTCAATTCACAATAAGTTTCCCACGTGTGCAAGTCAGCGGTCAGAGCTACCTATTTATTACTTCGACATATTCAAAGCATCCACGTCTACGTTCCACAAATGCTAAACCTGAAGTAAAAAATGTATTTAGGAGACCAGGAAGGACCATATGATGAAAAGTCGGCAAGCCTTGGATTCAGACTTTTTCAGACCCACCTGTTTTGCACACACAAACGGAATTTCCCGTACAGGAACGTTAATGTTAAAGCGCGCAATCTCAGTTATTTATGATTATCATACTCTAATAAGCGCAACGATTTTATAGTTTTTACCCGTACCGCACGGTATTGACAGCCTATAACCTGCGTTCGTTCTTTCGCCCTGAAAGGATGGGGTCGAAAACTGTAAACTCGGCATTTTCCTTTAGATAACTTTCCTAAATTTACACGTGTTTGAGTAGTTATTCTTCATTGTGCATTCGGTTGCCATGATACGTGTGCTGTTGTAACACACGCGAGCGACTTTTCGAGGAAATTGCAAATCTGCTGATTCCCGTCATTCAGAGTTTCACCATTTCGGTTTGTCGGCGAGCGTCTTACATCTCTGTTCAAGGTTACGTTCAAGCGTTTGGCCCGGCTCGCTTCTCCAAGGCAAAGCCCCACTGCTGGTCCTGCAAGGTCGACTAAGTGTTCGTCAGAAGCGTCGCATCCCATCCATCCACGTCTTATACATAAGCCTGCAATCAGAATAGGTAAACAAAAGACAGTTCGAACAAGCGAGCAGATATCTCGCGCGAGGATGATGTATGCCAAAGACAGTATATACGGCTAGCAGTTCAATGTTTAATTTTAACAGTGCTACTGGTTAAATAAAAATGCCATATACTATATAGAAATTGAGTCACTCGAAAAGCCGATATTTTGTAAATAATGTAGAGATGCTACGACAGGATTCCCTGGCTCTAGTGCCGCTTTCACTATGGCATATTTAATTTTACCCAATTGTCGTCAAAAAAATCTGTACACCGTTCGATGAAAATGTTTGTTCGTCAAAAAATGGCGTCGCCAACAATATACGAAGCTCTTTCGATGTCTGCAGAAAACCAGTAGCACAAGTTTCGCTTCGATGGTAGGCTTGACAATTTTTTGAAAAACCCTGTCAACAAGTTAAATCGAAATCGAGTAGGCGAACTATAACATGTCCATGCTGGATAAACAGATCTACTTCCTAAGGCTGTCCTATCTATTGTGAGGCTGGACTGCAAGTAACAGCAATGAAACACAGCAGGCGAAAGCTTTCGAGCCAAGTACGATTTATTTCGTTAGCATTCAAATCACCGCTCAAACTGAAAGTCATATTATCCAGCTTAGACGACCCACCTTCTGATAGAATTGGCTTAATTAATGATGGGAGTTTATGGACGAAGCTGACCCAGACGGGCAGTAAATATTTACTACTGGTAATTTCTGTTTAATCCATACGCAGACTTGGTTTTCTTACCACAGTTTTTTCACGTAATAATAATAATAGTAAATAATTCACGTAAGGTTGTGTGAGGTAATAAAAATACTATACATGACACTGTACATCCTATAGGTAATTTCGAGCGAAGTACCATTATACAAAGCGTGCATTAATGACGCAAAATATTTTTAATACAGGAGTCACATATTCGTGTGTGATATCTGTGTAAAAGCAAGACATTTGTCATAAAACGATATACCTGCCTAAAAAACAGTGAAAGTGAGACACTGTTGTTTTGTGGTGACTCATTAGGGGACCTTTTTACATGTACGTTCAAGGTATGGATTACAATAGATATTAGGTTTCTTTGAACTGACCCGACTCCTCCTTTGGATCACCGTTAATTACAATCGTATTATTTTTGGATAATTAACGCTTCAAAATGGTAGTAGAGCAGAAAAATCCGTTCGGCTCGCTTGCAACCAAATCACCAAGACTGATTCAATGAATACGTGACACGAAAACCTCGAGACGAACGCATTCTAGGATAAGGAACATTCAAGCTTAGGTATCTGAAACACGCACGCTTGACAATTTCATTGCCCTCTTCTAGGTTAGGATAGAAAAAATATAGTACAGTAACTGATAGCAAACAACCTATAATAAACTCAATAAAAGCATATTTAAGCTTCATAGATATATTCGTAGATTTGGATATTTGACTAGACCATATGGTCATTAATTTCTTGATTGTCAAAGCCATATGTGTAATCATATGCAATAATGATCACACGTATCGTATAAGTGCACCGTTATTTCTAAGAACACTAGCTTCTATATACTCTTCATATTTACATAACGCATATATGCTAAACAAGCGGGACGGAAGAATGCCCGCGCCTCTTGCTATCCATACAATCTATAGACATATCGTAATCCATTACGACATATTGGCGAATTTCATAATTATAGCGTAAGTTTATCTTCATGTCACATTATATAATCGGAGGAGGATTATATAAAGAGAAGGAAAGTTTGTATACCTCTATAGACCTTAGGAATAATCCCAATGATTGCGATAATTGTTTTGCTGGGCTAGAGGAGCAAATTGAAAACCTAATGATTAAGAAAACCTAAAGTAAAAGCCTCAATTATGCGATGCCGAGAACGGCTTTGTCAAATTGGGCATATTGGGTAGCCAAATTCAAAAACAAAAGTATATGTTTAGAAATAATGAATTATTAGTACGTGCAATACAATAGTACTATTGAATAACAAAAGGAAGGTACTTGTAAATTTGCGTAAATAAAGTGTTTGGTATCGTCACAAGGGTAGTAACATCTGTAATGAGTTTGCTTGTGAATAACAGACACTCGAAAACAACAACTGACTTAATCTTCATAATGACTCAAGCCCCCCCCCAGACGTATTTTTCCATTTTCATTAAAAGACGGTCCAAAAATGAATTTAGTCTAATGATGCTGTTATCAACGGGAACTGCAATTGAGATTAACGAAATTAGCATCAATTTTTATATAAGTTGACATTTTCTATATGTGTACATATACATAAATCGAATTGATCGTGTATGTCCCACATGTTCTGCGACTGACTAAAGCTATTCGCATCGTCGGTCAGCTACACCTGTACCACCTATTTCTTTTTCGGTTTTATGATGGTGCTAGGCTCTCTTTAGAATTGAAAAAAAAAAGTTATTCCCAGTAATGGCTCAGTAAATAAAAGCCAGTGCTTTTTCTGACGTATTCTAGCTCATCGTTTTGGCTGATCCGTTCGAACATAAACCCAGAACGTTGTGCCATTAGGATGTAGCACACGCTCGAAAGAGCTATTTCTTCTTTGCGTACTGCCATTCGAATAAGTGGCAGTTAGGCTAGCATTATAAACAGTATGCAGAAAATGACATTGAAATAAGTGTCTGGTAGAAATGCTTCGGCAACAGATCTGGCTGCATAATACTGAATATTGGCCTTGATACAAATAGGACCACCCCAGATCCGCAGGTCGCTTCTAACAAATTCCATCATAGCTAGTGATAATAATATATATCGTATATATTATTATATACCACCAACACTCTATGTATGTGTATTCTTCTCCAAAATGTTTTTGTTCGGTGATCGCTTTTAGCGAGTACCGTTAAAATTTCGTTCTGTTGTAAACTGCAGGCTGGATGGAGCCGATTGGATAGACCGCTTTTTTCCGGCGAGATCTTTGTTTCCTCTTTAAACTGTGATGCTAATTTTAGCAAGCTGACTCGTTGTTGGTATTTCCCTCGATAACCGTTAGGGATTTTTGAAGGGACCATATTTGAAAGTTGCTCATTTTTTTTAATCCTCTACTATAGGGTATAACATTACATTCCGGACTAAGTTTTTATAACTTTACTTTTATTTTACAACTTACTTAAAACAGTGACTATTTCTGCCAAGGTCGGAGTGGATTCTGTACATGCGGTCAATAGCTAAAAAAGAATCCTGTCAAAAAGCCGTTTGGTGTTTATGAAAAACAACATTTATAATGGAAACGCTAATTTTTCTGTAATGCTACTACAGTATTCCGTAATTCAACTGTTTTATAACAGCTATTCATAACAGCGCGTCGAAACGGTATCGTTCACGTTAACTCTACTGAAACTGTATTACGGGAAGTATCGGGTTGTACTTCACTAAGAACACCTGTGTCTACGTGTATGCTCATGTGCTTCAATTCATAAGGAACAACATTAACGTTCATATCTCTGTTGAAAAATTCGCCTTTAACCACAGTGCATGCCTTAAACGGTCCTAGTCGCAGGCAAAGCTTTGCCTAATTACAACAACGAACCTGCGGCTATAATCATCACGGCGGTGCTCTACCGCCAAATAAACCCGTGCGACGCAATTGTTTTAGCCATTGCTACTAATGTGTCGGCAAAAATTAGCCTGGATTTAATTTTGTTACGCATCGTTTTCACTTTCGATATGTCCTAGGAAAAGTCCGAAGCAACAGCTGTGCGTTGTTCCTGCTCGCGTAAACGTAGTAACTCTGAGTTAACGTAAAAAGTTTATCGTTTCCCTGCTGCGAACGATCATCAAAGACAACTTTCCTGCCTATGTTTGGTGCTATTCAATGAATATATTTGGTAGCTTAACCTGGTCGGACAGTCCAATTTAGCATGCATATGCCGGCAAGTGACGTCCTTTGTCTAGAATATATATAGATTGCCTATAGAGATATGGCATTCGTTGCTAATTTTTTCACGGCTGGTTCTTTGGATGGCTGACCCAATGTGCAAGCTTGCTTAATGAAATATCACTTCAAGTTGCATTTAACAAGAAACGATTAAAGGCATCACTTATTTGGGTCAGTAACGTTAGTCGCAGCAGTGTTAGGCTTAGTTGGCACGTCATATCGAGTATATATGGATGTACGTTTTAGGGGTTTTTCTGCTGAAAAGCATGAAATAAATGAACTTTTTTGTATGGGAAGTAAACATTAGAATAAAGAAGTCCTCTTTTCGCTAGAACCACTAAGAGATTCTAGGCTGAAGTTTTTTTGAGCTCGTTTGGCTGTTGCTACTCTGTGAACATCCTGCGGAATCGCCTCTTCGGAACTTAATCAACGACTTGCACCCACTAAATGGTCCACTCGGAATGGGCTTTGCTAGATCCATCTGGGGTTTGCCCAACTCAATTTATCTTGCTAGAGAAGTTTTTGCAGTGTTAACATGTGTAAAATTAGTTTTGGGATTTCTTAACTGGCTCAAGTTCGCCAGTGTTTCAGCCAATCCTGAAAGTGTCGGTGTTCCGAATTTTTAAATTTATGCCGCCAAATCGTTAAGGACGTTAAATCAATAGAGGTAAAAGTATGAGAAAGGAAACTGGGTTTTTTGCATGCAGATGTCTTACTCAAATGTCAGAGTAATCTGACAAATGTCAGATTGTCGGGGATCCTACAGAATTCAAAAGACAAAAATATATATTTAGGCTTTCTTGCACGGAAACCATTTCTCGATTTATGGTTATTGTCCAATACGTATGAAAATGCGTTCTCCCATCATTTGATACATTTGGTATCGATGAACATAATTTTACCTTAAACACCTGTTAGTTATGGTTACTTTTTAGCTGACGCCATATTTGTTCAGAAAATTGTTAAATAATAATTCAAAGCAAAGTTTCAATGGACTAAGAATGATATCGTAATGTCTGACGTAAGTGTTTTGCCAACCCGATGCCGTTACTGAAAGGCTCGTCGTATCTCGACATTGCGTGCTCCGTTAAAATCTGTAAATTTATCTACAGTAAGGTAAAAAGCTTTTGAAGTGTTCAACGGAAGGCGAACAGTGCGAGCAGTTAGCCAAAACACTTGTACACGATTAACGGAGTGGTTGTTTCGGATATTTTTTTTCGGAATAACCAAATATGATAGCGTGTGTCGCTTAATGAAGCAAACGAAATGTCTCCGTTGATAGATGCTCATAAATGAGTGTGTTGCCTTAATGCGTGACGCTATTTTGGGCTAAACGCCGTAGGAACAGTATGGTCCTCTAAGTTCATGTCAACACAGTGAATACAATACACAACCTTAAACGGTATCGCTTGGACCAAAAATTTCCCCTCATAATCAGCCTCAGATTTGAGCTCTGAGAAGATCAAATTTTATTGAGTACATTTTTAAACGAAGTCTGAACCTTCTGGAAATTTTACTAGCACATTTTTTTAATATCCGAAAAATGTAATCAGTCCTGTACACCAAAAATGACGAATGAGCATCAACATCACATGTATAAGGTTGTAGAATATAATGGAAATGTCTCGAAATTCCCGCCCGTTTAACAGCCTTACTTATGTTGCTTGCAGGTGGATTTTCTAGACACTGCAGGAGACAATCAATTTCCCGCAATGCGACGACTTTCCATCGCAAATGGCCAAGCATTTCTTCTCGTCTATGCCATCGACGACCCCAACTCGTTCGATATGCTCAAGCAATGTTTTGAAGAGATTCGAGAAGGGAAACCTGATTATCAGGTATTCACCGCACACAACAGATGATATCAAAGGCTCAATTATTTTCTGTAGTGCAATCCTGAATTATGAGGTCTTGAACGTACCTCATTTACCGCCAATATGTTTCTGAAATGCAAATCATAACAGAACTCGACCGACAACTGTTTTGTTCTTCCCAACACCGAAAACAGATAATGAAAAAAGACGACAAGGACCACAGCGATGATACGGTCCTCGTATCGTAGCCTTGCGTTATACCGAATAGATTGCAATGTGTTTTTTTTTCTATCTCCGTTTTTGTACCTAAGCTAAAAAATCTAACATTTAGCGGAAAAAATACAAAAATCGATCACCGATCTGGATTTTCGTGTACTCTTTTTGTTTACCTTCAATCTAACTTCATATACCTAAGCATGTCTACGCATGATCTCCTCTTTGTTGCAAAGACAAGACGTTAGTCAATTAATATTAATAAATTAATCAAATAACTTTATTGGTGGCAATTTAGCTTAACAGAGCCTGCTGACAGCTCATCGGTCTACGTATGAGATTTTGCTCGTTTCGATAGGCGTCCTCTAAATATACTGAACATGATTTTCTATACTTCTTTATTATACGCGGCAGAGAACACAAAGTGCTATATTTGGCAGTGTCTGAACATGCTCTTACCCGTAGCCAAGTCATTCCGAGAATTTCTTCAGGTTCTTATCTTGTTGATCGTATTTAATCACTCACAGTAGCTGGTTACATCTCTATAGAGACGGTAGCTTCGTCAGAAGTGACAATAAAATGACGCCGAGAAAAAAGTATTGCATAAATATTTGTCTACTACTAGCTTTATGTGTCTAGATGTTTACTTACTCAAATACAACGCCAGCGCGCTAGGCTCATTTGGTTTTCCTCTATGGTAGTTTCTCGTTTTAATTTTTCGCGCCCTTAAAGTGGCAGAGTGGACAGTGTGTCCACGGTACATGGACTGTCGTAGATCCTAGAGGTCAGCCACTTGCCGTAGTGATACGTTATTAACGTAAAAAAGGCACCGAATAGTGTTTTTCTTGAGTGTAAACTCCTCTTGCGAGTAGCTCGTAGATTCTCGGTCTGCGACAACCCACGAGGGAAAAACAAACTCAAGAAAAATATCCGTGCCGCCATTTCAGAAATAGGGACAGACGTATGCGAAATAGTGGTCTAAAAATGGGTGTAGCGAGTAATTGCCATGAAGAATGCTAAGAAAGGCCACTTTGCTGATATTGTATTTAAATAGAGTTTTAAATGTAATTTTATTTGATATTGAAGAAGAGCTATCTATAAATACATTCAGTTTTTTTTTCGTTAGCATCATTTATAGTCGCTCACAACCAGATGACTGTTCCATTAAAAATTTTGCTGAATTGTTGACTTCACATGGGAGGACGTTCTCTGGGCAGTCGTCAGGGCTCCTTCCGAATAGATCCCGCTTGGCGCGGCTACGTCGAGCATCCCAGGCATATGAAAACCATGCACTGTCTTGTAGAGTCTTAACTTATTAGATATGCGAAAATGCTCTCTGCAAAAATGCCTTTGGGATTTACGAGGGAACGTTAGACGAGTTGGCCTGCTGTCAGCTTATTAGCCTATCCGTGATGTTCAGGCACAGCCAAAATTTAGTCATGTGGATTTTATTTTATAACATATGCACTCGTTTCCCGGCGCAGAGCAGCAAGAACGGTACCAAACAATGAGAGACACCATTTCGATAGGCTCTCAGATTATTTAAGTAAATGGACCTGTACCCCTTTACAACGAATATATGAGATAATCCGTTTACGTTTCTTCCATACGAGCAGTTGAAATTTGCTAATTAGGTGTATGCCTGTAGCGGATATCACATGTCTCAGTTTCCATGGGTCGATTTTATAACTATAGAAACATTCATGCTTTCCGTCACGTTCGCTTACCGTGACTTGGTTACGCATGTGCATCGGACAATAATACACGACGCCGTTGAAAGTTGCAAATTGTCATTTATTATTTCAGAATCCTCTGTAATTCTGTTTATTATTGCCATATATAATGCAACATATTATTGCAATTTATCTCCATTTTTGAAATTCAACTCTTATAGCTCTAGTAAACTAGTTAATCTTTGGGAATTCTTATAGAGACAACTCCGATGGCACACAATATGGTACCCTGGGCTTTACGCTATCAGCTGATAAGAAATATACTTATGTGTGTGTAATATACAGGTTTGCGTATACGGATAGAGACGAATACAAGACTTCCTTCAAGTTCTTTTGAGTGATAATCGATATTACTTAGGTAAACTAAAACGTGATAGGTACTTCAGCGGCGATGGCTCTAATATTTTCGTTGAAAGTTGTTGCCCCAAGCAGACGACAGTTGACTGGCCCTATTTTTAGTCTCGGATCGTGGACTACGGCAAGAATCTCGTATATTTAGTCGTTGTGTAAATGTTCAACCAAATGATTTTACCTAGCTTCAGGAGTTTATCTCTAATTTATTACGAGAACGAATGAACGAATAGTTTGCCGTCTTTTACGTAGGCGAAATTGTGTCGACTGGATCAAACAAAATTTGAAAGTTACTCAAAACAAATGCTAGTTTATATGGCCGACTATGGCTCGGTAGTGTAGGCGAAACAAGTTTCGTAGACCTGTTCATAATGATTCTCATATGAACGGGTCAAGATGGGAGGTTGAAGTGATACATGAAGAAAAGGCAAATGTATTAGGTCTCTTTACCGTCCAAAGCCGATCGTCTACAGCTTGAGGTCTTAGGTTATGGAAAATAAACAGACAGCCGCTTCACAAATTACCTAGTAAGTGTCCCTTCACGCCGCAATAAGCTAAATAGTGCCAATAAATATGCAAGTACTGTCGGATAGTATTCAAGGAACTATTCATTATTTGAAGAAGAGAGTAAGCACTGTTTAAACGATCCATTCAAATCCCAGATTAATAGGGAATCGATGTTTCGTTTACTGGGAGATTTAACAAGATATGCCTCGGCGACTCCATCAGCGTAACTACTTGAGGCTGGAACTACTAACAACCAAAATTACGAACGAAAAATAAAGAAACAAATAGCTCAATAAAGGTAATATTTATCCTCAAAGTGCTTCTACTTTAAGGTAACTTGTTGAGACAAGTTTGCAAAAGGAAAAATGCCAACAGGACTTTTTGTCCTTATATACAGCGCCATCTAATAGAGCATAAGTTATAACCAACATTAACTGATTATCGGAACTGTGTGTAAGCACAAATTCGTTCTAAGGGTGAAAGATGTCCTTACTGGGAAGCATATTCTGATTGCCTAAACTGTTTTTTTTCTTTTTTTTTTTTGCTTTTATTACGGCATACTTCTGTTCACGTCTGGCCCGAAAAAAATCGCAAATTTTTTTTTTCTGCAGCCTTCGCGTTCCTAGTGTGGCTGTGTTTTGAAACGTATTGTAGGTTGACTAGGAGGAGCACCTAGCTGTTTCTATATCATATTTAATACATGAAGCTAAGTAGTACGTTCGAAACAAGGCGCTCGATAGCAGTCTGCTTATCATTTGCGCTTCGCTCATTTCTAGGATTTTGCACTGATATATTCTAGCCATAGCAACGTCAGAATCTTCACGAAATTTCAAAATCTAGAGATCTAGCCTGCGTGTTAGAGCTCCGGCCAAATCAAAAACCGCACCGATATTTCAGTTATGCCGAATAGTTTGCAGGGCAAATCGGTAGTAGCTACCAGCGTCGAACAAAACGAGTTAAATGCTCGAGCCAGTTGGGCAACTATTGTGTACTACCTAAACCTAGAGGTTATTGTCTCAGTAGTTATGCGAAAAAGCTATCGCACTTTGTGTCATATCACTTACATCTCCGCCTCGCCGGTCATCAGAAGTTACCGCTTTGCCACCCTTCGCTGTTTACCTAGCTACTCATTCAATCTATAGCCGTTGCAGTGTACTTAGCTATACGTCTACGAGTGCAGACAAGCGACTGTTCTTGGTTTTAGTGGAAGGGTCGACAGCGAGAACTTGGATTGTCTCTTACGTACTGCAAGGCAGATCCTGGCAACTTCATATAGACTGTGGCCCCGCTAGAGTTGTCTCTTTCTTTGCGAATAAATTATGTCAAGAGAAAAAAATAACATGTGCAGAATACTTGGCTATAAAACTCTCTTACTTGTTGCTACCATTGCAATTGCGATGTAGAGTTATTCTGAGGAAAATATGCACATAGAACATACGTCAAAATGGAGGATTATGTTATCTTATCAAATAATCATGATATGTGCGAAACAAGCGATTCGTACAAGTCAATATTTGCCATTAGGCACCTTTTTTTTGGGGGTGGGGTAAAGGAGGGATATTCACAGTGTTAGACACCTTGATTTACGAAGAATAAGATGCTTCAAGGGTTGCTCACACATAGATACATAAATTACTAAAATTAAGCCTAGCAGATGCTAAGTAGTTTCCCTAAAGCTTCAAAATTGCAAAGTATGTTGCTGAAATACCTATCCAAATATAAAAATTTGCATTCGGTCTTTGCACTATCTTTTTGCATTATTAGAACGCTCCGTACAACAACTCATTCGCCCACACGATGAGATACTTTTCCTCCTACAGGACATATACGTGTTCAACTAACGTCGTGTTCTCCAGCTATACTGCCGTACCGACTGGCTTGAACGAGCAGCCTAGACAATACAAAGTACTTGAGGTACGTAAAAACGAACTTTTACAGAATTTCACGAGTCAGCAATCGCTGGCCATTTTAACCAGCCTCTAACGAGATCGGCCGTTGTTTGGAACGATGAGAAACAGCAAAAGATCTGTGCTGAGAAGTGCGTCTTCCAATCCCAAAACAGCTAGTGCCAAGTTTTTTCCTCCCGGCTCGTTGTTAGGTGTTATGTGATTCTGCGGCGATACCCTATCTTTTTTTCATTTTCCCATGACCGCGTACGTATAGTGATCGCTCTGGCTGGTTTACCAATCGAAAAAGCACAAAGCTGTGACAATTGCGATATTTCGAAATGCATTAGCTCGTGTTGTAAGATGCACGAAGAAGATCATTTGAGGTGTCACTGAAGTTTGTAGCTTTTGAGAAAAGTACGAGTATGTATTTGAAATGTAAGAGTGTTGTTTGCTCCTGTTTGATCCTTACCTGCCGACTAGCTGCTAGGTAATCTCACTACGACCGACTCTGCGGCACATGCACCATCCAGCACAGCCTGGTCTTTCAGCCATCATGTGACTGAACTTCACATGAAAACGTCGTTGCATATGGGATGCGGCCAGTTGAACAAACGATGGCGCTTTCATCAGCTATGCCCTCTAATGCGAAACTCCTTTATAGTATACAGTCGTTCTTTCTAATTAAAGAGCTACAGGGTGAAAACTGTTGGGCGGGATCTGATGAAGTCCTCCAAAATAACTAGAAGATGACGAACCCGCTCATCTGCATTTGATGAACAATATCGTTCATCGGATATAAGGAATGGTACAGTTAGTATGTATCCATGCAAGCTACCGCTTCGACTCCGTATTACTAATTCGAATATAATAGCTTTTTGATTCTGAAGCCACGAAACGCCTGATGATGCAGTTTTTTGAACATGGAAATAATATCTCTTTAATTAAAAACGCCTTGAATTATACAGAGCTATGTAAAAATTGTGAAATACCCGATCGAACGGGGGCATCATGATCTGTACGGTTAATGTGCATCTCTCTATATACGCTGCCATACTAACGATGGATTGAAAAGTACGTAACAACGCCAGGTTAAACCCCAACGAAAAGAAAAAGTGCTATAACAATTAAAAAAAAATAAGCCAATACTAGTAATGTTAACAGCTGTTTGGTATACCTTTTCGAAGGTCTATTGAAGAGGCCCCAGATGAGTCCCGCAGCAACCATCTGGTTGGATTTCTAATCGGAACAAGTCCTCCTAGGCTGTGACTAGAAATAGCAGACTCCAAGGATTTGTAGGTAATGAATAAACGTGTTACACAAAAAAAAAAACTGTGTATAAGTAGAGCTATGTATATTATTCTTTCCAAAAATATTTAAATATGAATGGAGAGGTTATCCGAATCTGTCATCATTTTATATTGCAAAATAAGCTGCTTTCACGTAGGATGATTTAGCAACCTACACTATTTTTAGATATTTCGGCTAAAAAAAAACCGAGCATTCGCCCGAAAGTTCTGTAGTTGTTCCGTCACCGAACAAATCGGCTGTAATTCCACTCACAGGCAACGCTATCAAAAAAGCAAAAATCAGCTTGAAAATATGTGATCTTGTTAGTGGAACTCATTCCACTACAATGGCTAACAAGATAGCGGAAACTTAAACGTACACTTACCTGAAATTTCAAGAATCACCAGGTATTAAAGTTGCCCATCGATATCTGGAGTTACATTATCTAACTTAATGGGTCATGGAGATTAAGTGTGACAATGATTTGAAATAAATTATGAAATGAAGTTTACACAAGCGCTTGCTGGTTTTGTTTAAGAGTCGAGCTAAGTACGGCGTACATAATTTTATGCGCCACATTAAAGAAATGTTAGCTGTGAACTAGCAAAAATTTCATTTTTCCTTACTGTTAATGTTATTCTAGGAACTACCCATCGTTGTTTGCGGTAATAAAAGCGACACGCCGGAGCTGCGAAGGGAGGTGAGCAAACAAGACGTCAGTGAATGGCTGTACTGCGAATTGCCTCGAATCAAAACTAAGTTAGTTGAGTGTTCCGCAAAGGACGGTAAGTATGGCGACCTATATCAGCTGTTATATAAATGTTAGAGCTCAGCCAGCGATTTTGCCTTTAGCAACTGTATTCCACAACGAAAATGTCGGACTGCTGTTAAGTAAAGTAAGCGTCCGATCACACGGATAAAGTCGAAACAGCATTTGATTAAACTGGATGTAGAACCGGCAGAGTTTCGTAAAGGTCGAGGATGGGAACCGCAAGGCGCCCACGTTTTGTTGCGGCATTTTTTTTTTAAATTGTCCTAGAGCGTTTTAGCACTGCATCAGAATCGAAGCGGACCGAAAAAAGCGCTGTCACCGGATTATGTATGTGACGAACGAACACCGAGACGACGTTTAAAGTGAAATTCATAAAGAACGTAGTTTTAGTTGTCAGCAAAAACGCGGCGTCAATGAAAGATTCATTTCCAAAAAAAAACAAGCTCGTGATTGATGCTCGACTATGATGGGTGACTGACCTGCCAATTCTGTGCAATATCAGCAGGTTGTCTGTAGGAATCTATTCCAGCAACGAAAGCTTATCAGCGTATTCAACATAAAACTCTAGCGATTTTTAGTAAACGCCAACTTTTCAGTTACAAACTTTTAGTTATAAAGTTATGTCATCCGTAAGACAAATATCTGACGATATTAAGAGTGTTATAACAAACTTAGAAACTCTGCGCCGTAACAATCTAAATTCAAGTTCCGAACAATACAATACAGAAAACTTTACGACATAAGCAATCCTACATATACCATTCTAATACATTTAGAAACTCTTTCATTTTAACCTCTTTCGAAAACTATTCTAATTCACAAAAAGTAGAACAAAGTCTCTCGCAAATATAGAATTCTTGTCCGTCTTAGTTTTGAAAAAAATGGTGATCACCTGTGTTGGTAGTGATTCATTGGAAAAAGCCATAGTGAAGTCTTTAACCCAACCAGACTCAGGCCTGTTCCGGCTGAGCCAAAACTTCCTTTTAAGCATTTCCTTCTCATTGTGAGAGAAACTATATTATTTTTAAACTGTATTTCTCTACCAAAAGCTAGCACTGTGATTTAAAAACGGTTCTTACGTCACGGGGTACTCGTTATCGTTAACGTATTTGACGCAGGGGGTAATTTTACCTGTGCACTACTTGTTCTATTGAACTTGCTCATATACGATAATATCGACGCAGTTAAGCTCCGAATTAAGTTTTCCCACCTATATTTGTATTAGAAGTACGGCGAAAACCGCAACAGAAAAGAAGCGTTTACTTCACGACAATAGAGAGTATTATCAGGCAAAGATAGACTTCACATGGTTGTAAATGAGATGCAGGCGGATATTCTATTTGCTGAGTTATCTCCAGCTTGGTTTGAATAATCTCTTTGTTTTCTTAGTAAACTATGGGGCTCTTTAGAATAAAAGTGCAATTTACAAGTATCCAAATAATTTATTCTATTTCGTGACGTAATGTTAAAAAGGAATTTTGAGTAAATCTGGACACGCACATACGCGCGGAACTTTCCAAACAATCCATATTTCTATAAAATAAAGTATTGTAGATTAGACCCATTTTGTAGAGACGGGCTCCGGCGAGTCCAGTGTCCTTTTAATCCGATTACGGTTATGTAGGAAACATGGACATGAAAGATTAGAAGCCACTTGAGCCTTATTGGCTCAGATGATGTCGACAGATGTTTATTTTACTGTTTTGATCATATTAGAGTAACAAACAAGCCATAGAAATGCTCACTTACATTTTCCTATTTTTCCGCTCAAAATTGCTTAGCTCAAACGAACGAAGCTTCAATTCAAGCGCATTTGCTCTGAAGTGATTCGCTGCAAAGGCCAAATACCTGATCTTTGTCAAAAAATTTTCGCGTGGCAAGATAATTCTCGCTTTATTAGCAAGACTGACCTGTACCGCATGCATGATTTGCAGCGCTCCATTTGTAAACTGATCTATTTTTATCGGGCTAACAAACGTTGAATAACTGATGATTTACTTGACTTACTTTTCGACAATTCTAATGAGCGCCCCAGACGCTGGATAGACCACCGTCATTAATAACTTCATATGCCTAATCAACTCTATCTCGACAGAGCGTCCGTCACCAAGTGACTGCCAGGACCTTTTTTTTTGTGTATATAAGCCACTAGGCAGTACCTAATTCCCAGCATGAAACGAAGCGTATCTAAGTCCGGATTCTAACCTGCACCACCCCACGTAATCCCTAAGTTTAACGTAACCTACTGCACTATCTGCCGAAGTTAGAAGATCATCTGCAGTGTATAGAAGTAAGTCTATAAATAGTCCTCTATAACCCTGCAATTTTACCAACTTTAATACCAACTTTAGCTGGTAGAGCGAGGTATTTGTTATTGGCGTTATTGTTGTAATAGACGAGCATGCAGCGATGCCGCTTTGTGCCGCTACCGTTAGTTTGTCTTCATAACCAATCGACATACATACAACTATGTCGACGGAGAAAAAGATAGGCTACAAAAACTGTTTCATTTTGAAATTATGTCCAATAGTACGTAGAGGCATTGTCAACACTGACTGTGGTATAAGTTCTACCAGTTAGAACAAAGTGGTTCACTTAAAAGGTATGTGGTATGTATATTGTCATCAGCTTTACCTTTAAAATTTGTTTTTGATGCGATGCTTGATCGTCAAAAATGTTTTGTTTCACATTTTGAACTCACAGCGTCACGTTTACTTTGGCACGCATCACACTGATACGAGAACAGGGGTGCTACAAGCCTACAACCAACCCGTATTGCCCATATAGTGGAATCGAAAGTGACAAGGCCAAGTGTATAAATACACTTCCGACGCCCCGCAACTAAAATTTCAGCTTCTTTTTCAGTACCAAGCTCATGGACACTTTTCTGGAAACCTCGCTGCTATTGCTTCTGTTATTCCTGCTGGTGTTTCGCATTTATTTGAAGGAATAACTAGCATAATTATACTAACAGTGAGGAAAGCTTCACCCCAGCTTGTACAGGACCAAAGGCAGAAACGTCAGTAGCGCCGCAACCCAATGTGCTGCGTATGCGTGCCATCGTAATAGCAGTAGCCCAAAGCGCGGAGTGCAACACGGTAACCGGAGACTGTTTTCACCGGCCTATATGTTTGCCCACCCAGGCAAATATGCAGCAGATTCTACCTGTATTAACATACGTATGCTACCCCGGGAGATATCGAAATAAAGCTATATAGGCAAAAGAAGCTGCTATATAAGACATCCACTTGTCTGTGGTTCTTAGTTTCCTCTTGCGGATTTATATGGCATCAGAGCCACTTCTTTCACTAGTGGACTCGTTTTATTATACTAATCACACTTTTGAATCGTAATATATTCAAATGAGTCCCACCGCGACGGGGTCGGTACGTACGTATCCGCCATTTTAATGTGGATAGCAGATGCCCGAGGAAAATAGAGCAAAAGTTATAATGACATATGTACACAATATTAAATTATCATATATAAAAAACAACAAAAAACTAGTTTGATTCTGTAGTCCTTTCGGTAGAGTCTATTTACTAGTAATCTCTGGATTATTTAGTACGTATCTGTGGTTTTGTCTAAACTGTTATATACTTTTAAAATATTTGATTTAAAACATGTCTTCATTGGGGTTCGTTACCAATGTTGCGCGTGGAATCAAAATCCATACAGGCTTAATAACGGAAAATAAATGGCAACAAATGGAACGAAAGTATCCTACATAAAGGCAACGTATACCCATAAATTTGGCGACAGGATTTTTCGAAGCACGCCTTCGAGTGCGCCTCTTACCGGTAGCTGCACGTCCGTAATGACCCTAAAAAATTGTGTTTTCCTGAGAAATCAAAATGTTTGCTCGATGATGACTACGAGGTAAAAACTATGAAATTAACTTAGACCCATGTCTCATGTGTGGCAGCGATGATCTACTATTAATCAAAAACGAGTTCCATTCTAGGCATCGTTTTGGGACTACCCAATCGGTCAGAGACGCAGAGTTCGCCATTTGACCCAATTTCAGTTGTAACAACGCGACGTTCAACAGAGTAAAAAATTGAGCTTTCACTCTAAGTTTAATTCTCTTCTTAAACGTTCATAGACGTATTAAAACGATATCAAGTATAACCGAACCGCGCTACAATCCCGCGAAGTGGCCCGCTACAGAACACTCAGCTTTAATTACAAATAATTTCAACCGCAAGATATACTCGTATTTTTGCCGACAATAGCTCAATAACATATCGAAGTAAAGCATGTCTTTGAGGTCTAAACGGCCCGTTTTATTGTAAATCTTTTTACTCAAAATACTTAAAATATCTGTGATTTAACAGATAACGTAGGCAAGTCACTCAAGTATAATGCATAGTGTTATTTCTTGCTTTATGCGGTTTCATGTTATCCTTCGATTAGGATATACTTTCAAGCGAACTCGGGGTGCCGCTATTGATGTGCGACGGGTACGATGAGCGCTTAAATTTGAACAAATAGCCACGATTTCGCCTATTAGCAGCGCTCCGGATGAATGTATATATGTATACATGTTGGGTGATCTTTGTGGCGTAAGCGCCGACGATCTCTCGCACGAAGGTGATACACTTTATCACGGATGTTTATCTAAAAAAAAAAGTGTTTTGTTTAACCTTGAAACAAGGAGAGCGCGTTTACAAAACGAGAACTTTGCACAATTTAGAAAACGCGCGGTACTGCACTGAACCTGTTTGTATACGCCAGGCTTTTGAGTGTGCAAACGACTCTGCTGTACTGCCACTAAGAAGCTAACGCGGACTCACAACACGAGCAGTGACAGACTTTGACGTCGGCCACGGCCCATACCTAAACGTCTCTAGAACCTAATTAATAATTAAACAATAGAAGTGCACTAAAATGATTTTCTCATAAATTTAACTATAGTTAGAGAAGATCGATAGGTTTAGCTGCGAGGGGCCCTTAATCACGTTGACGCGTTCCTAGCTAATATCGGTTATTGGAATTTTCCAGGTAGCAATGTTCACGAGGTGTTTCGGTCATTCATTCCTCTGTCGGGTATTCAGCTTCTACAACATTCAGAGGGTATTCCTACGACACCACAACTACGAAGACGTTCGTCTGTGCACCTGCCAAAACGATTCAGTAGTCCGAAAGGACAGCAACCTCCTCCGCAGCTTCCCGCAGTTCGTTCACCTTTTAGATTAATTCTCTGAAAAAAAATTGCATAAGCAAGTAGTTAGCTTACGGAAAGAGTCCAAGTACACACACATAAATCCGACTTCCTTTATGTACTCTATAGAATGAGATAACATTCTGCCATCTTGTCAGCCAAACGCAAATGTTAAGACGCTTTCGCTTTCTATCCGCTCGAATTTTTTCTCATTACCTAAACACATATATATATATATATTAACTACCGTGTGGAAAGTACATGTAACGCTTTAAGCTTTCACCGTCCACCGTCTGATTATGTTCTAATCCTAGCATAACGTCATGTTCACCTTATATGGCTGGGAAGTAATGTTCACGCATCAGACAAGTCATTGCAGACGTCTAGGAGTACGGCTGTAGAGGGTTGCCAAAGCAAAAGTTGTAGAGGCATGTTATTGTCAGTCACGGTAGGTGCGTCTGTCCGCTATGGTCGTGTTCGGCTTGCTCACATACTCTAATCGTCAACGTCAGCTCATTCCACTGCTTGCTAGAGATACATGTGCATTGTTACATTATACATATCTGATAATACTGAATATAACACGTTACCGTGCTTGCAAAAATGTGACGTCAGGCGTTGTCCTTAATTGGAGTTGGTTAGCTGGACAGCGCATCGTGAAAGCTCATGGTCAGTTTGGGCAAGACGTTGTGGACGACAATGATTCTTTTAAACTCCATTGTCCATTTATCGTTTGTCCGGGTGTAGCTGCAATATGGAACTGAAGTACGCACGTCGGTTTATTTAGTTTTCTGCGAATCTGTGTGGACTACTGGTCAGATTCGTTTATTACATTTTGTCGTCAATGCGCGTCACTCTTGCTAATAACTATGCTTGTTACTACAATTTCAGGAGCCTCCTTCAGCTCTTCAAAACTGCTCGGCCTTCAAGTCGAAGCCACGTTCGCGATCTTTAATTCGACGTACGAGTAAAAAGAACAAGGCAAAAACCGACAACGATTGTGCCGTTTCCTAAGTGAAATCGAAGCGGACGCGAGGTCGGCCGAGGACAGCAGGATGCTTTTTCAAAAATGCTTTTATTTGGCTTTTGAAAGCGGGTAGAGAACTACTTCACAATTAATCCCTCTCACACAAAACAGGCATCGTAAAAAGACCTTGTCAATTGATCGGCGCCAGCGCTCCCACTGTGTACCACACACTGATCCACCCATCCGTCGATGACACAAGCTTAATCACCGTAAAAAGTATGCTTATTACTACTTTCGGTATATGGTTATTATTGTCGATATCATAACGCAGATGGCAGAATTTCGATACGAACACGCGTTTTGATAAGGAAAAAAATATAGTAGAAAAAAACATGTAATAGAGAAAAAATGTTCCGCATGGAAACAAGGTAGACGCCACAGTTAGCTTCTCAAAGTCGGATCGAGCTCAAGAGTACGACGCCGCGCGATGCCTTTTGTGCACACTATTGGCTCACGAACCATAACAGCCATGTCAATTGATAGGCTCGATATGATCGCAATATTTGCAGGAACTGTTTGATTCAGTTATTCGATCAATAGTTCCTGGTAATGTCACTGTTTATGCTTGCCTCGCATAGCCGGCAGGACGTTACTTGTACTTGTTGCCAAAGCTAGTACTCCCTTATTTACAGAGCGAAAGACTTTATCAGGGACAGAGAGAAATGCGGAGACGGAATGTTGGCGGCGCTTGAAAGCTCAGATTCAATCAGTCGACGTTACCTCGGAGACGGTACCAGCTCGAGAGGAGATAAATCCGCTGTCTTATGAAAATCAATAAGGTGGATATACTATTCGATGGGCTGTATTTGTCTATGTACGACTGAACTGTGATGACATTATGTCAGATTAATTCAAATTTGTCACACGAGTCTGACCGAGCTCGAAGAAAAGAAAAAAAAAAAGCAAATATCGTACGGTATATACTGGTTCAGTTGAAGTAACATCGTACGCTATCCCAAGTAACATAACGAAACAACATAGGCCATGTTCCATCCGCTCAGACTGTAAACGACGAAGCTAGAGGGTAGTAACAGCTAACTAGCAGTATTACTAATTAAACTAGGGATACGAGAGAACTTTTTTACGGCCGACGGTTGGTACGGGAGAAAGCGTGCGTCCTTTTCGAAGTTGGTCAACGGCCGCGCTCTAGCTACATTGTGATAAAAAGTATGTTCATGATAAAAATAACAATATTAATTACCGTCATTTTGAAAACAATTAGAAAGTAAATATGACTAATATTATTTATAGTTATTCACTCATATTAACTATACTCGCTACATAATAATAGGAAAAATGGCGCCGAATTAAGAACATGTTAAACGATGAACGAAGGCATCTTGTTTAAGATAAACATATAAACAAGGCAGCAAAAAAGCAGAAAGAGAAGATTCATCCGTTACTACTACTACTACTACTACTATTATTGACATTGGGCCAATTTAAAATGGAACAACACTGGGTTGAATACATCCGGCGAACGGGTAAAATAGGGGTAAAAGGCGAATAGTTTATATATGTTGAAATGGTGTTTCCTCAATTATCGATAGATAAGTCGCTTGATTGCAAACTACTATAAATCTAATATTGATATTAAAACTATGGTATTTCTAGTCGACCTGTTTCCTATTTTTGACTTGAGATACGCGAGGGAAATATTACTAGTAGGTAAACATATTCCAGGGACATAAACACACCATATATGTAGATATAGATATAGACAAGAGAGCAGCAATAAAACATTGTTTTTTCGGTTTCCTTCTTTTCACAAACACCAGAGTAACGAACACACTCTTGGTGTTGCTCACTCTATCGCTGCTGCTATAAATTGTTACAATAATTATCTTATGACTATTATCGATAATAAGACAGTCATAAAAAAGAGGACATATTACCTTGTTGAAATATGGTCGAACTATGTGCCATATACAGACAGTATTGGCACAACTATTGTTGAATAGTTGTCGCTGCCCCTGGCCATAGCGAGAAATCCAACTGAGTCTAATATAGCAGCATCTCAACGAACAGAGAGAACAAAAAATTGATGAGTTACAAATGCCTGTTGCGAACGATACACGTAACATCACAACTAAATTGCCACGTAAAAATCTTCGAAAAAATCACACCGTTTTCGCACACGTTTGTAAAATACAAATATATATATATATATATATAATATTCTATTATCACTATAAAGCAACATTAGTGAAAAGTAGATTATTACTATTATGGCTTTTTTTTTTTAGCACCATTCTACATCTACAAGCGCATTGTTAAATGACCGCAATCACAATAACATAGTATTATTAAGAAAATTTATATGGAACAAAGTGAGTATATGCGGGAGAGGACTGAACGTCAACTTACCTTATATGTATAATCTCAGCAAGAAAATCAATATTACGAATGCAAGCGAGCAATCGGAATAAACCAAGGTCAGATAGGCAGGCCGGCCGGCCGGCCGGCCGAAGTCGAGAGTAAGCGATTTTCGCAAGGTGTCCAACACAAGTCTACTTTGTTGCCATCGTTATCACTGTCTTAATTGCAAACAGCATTAAGACTTAATTTTTTTTAAAAATTTTCATTGTAATTCATTATACTACTGTTGCAGCCTTGCTGTGGTGGTAGTGTCGTTCGAACGGGCGATGCGGCACAGAGGCGCGCGCAACGTATGTACGGAACAACATAACATTTGAAACAATGAGCACCTGGGACGTTGTCTGTAGACAGAAATAATAATATTGGTCCCCTTTGGTAAATTGTTTGTAACTCCGTTACCTAGTGGTTGGGCTGATCACAGCATTGCATGAAAAAGGATAGTCGTGTCACAAGAGGAATTACTGAAGTGGTAATCACCCGAATAAGTGCACTTGAGTCAAACTCAATCGATTCTGAAAGATTCCGTCGCTCGAGATCGCGACGGGAAGCTCTTAGCTGGTATACGCTTTTTTTGTTTCGCGTAGTTTACCATTTTTTATTTGGTAGTGATTTCTCGTGTTAGACGGACCTTATCAGGGTACACCTATTCGTAGCGGGTTCAGCGCTGACGATTAAATATGCTCCTGCCGAGACCGCCGCTCACTAATCTTAACTACATTCCGCTCCTAACCAATCTACGTCCATTGGGAATGCGTTAGAACCATCGGATATCGTAAACAAAAAAAATACATAAGCGATATCCACGTATGACGACAAAAATAGGTAAGAACACACAGTGGGAGCGCGAAGGACAAACTGGCATATATATATATATATAAAGCACGAATTTACATATTACATAGTATATAACTGCACGGGACGGCGAAAAATGTCGAGGGATTCTGAATAAAATTATTCATAACACTATTATTACATCATCGACGTTATTATATAGACAGAGCTGATTGCTTATCTTTGTTCATATTTGAATTCGCTTTAATAAATAATTTGCAATTATCGCTTCGCGTGTTCTTTTAGAATCTAGCCTAGCTTAAGTTTTTCCCTCTCCGTACTTTTTTCGAAGACATGTACGCGTGCTCTTTCAATGCATGCTGGCTGCGTGAGAGAACCACAACACAGAACAATATGAAACGCCATTCTATTTATCAAATATAATCGTATCTAGCAGTACGTACATGAAGCTTTGATTCTGTTCCAGATAACAGTGAAAGTATTAAGTATTCAGATAGTATACAATTGAAAATTATTTCCAGCACTCTCTTGAGAGCCTAATTTCGAAAACTTCGTTACTTATGCCGTTAACAGACTCCGCGACGGTTAGAGAACCGTTTGCGCGCCAGCCATTCAACCATTGCTCTTACGCAACGAAGATGTTCTTATATATTGCTCAATATTGTTATTTCAGTCTCCGTTTTTCGAAAAAGTTCGGTTCGTTTGTAATCTCTAGAAATCAAATTGTAATCTCAATTTCAGGTCTCGAATTGCTACGAGAGAGAAATACTTTCCCGCTGCCGTTCCACCTGCCGTAAAAAGCGTACTCATTATGATCGTTTAATTCATGTATTTATTTTCCAACACATTTTAGGATCTAGGCGTATTTGCTTCAACGATCTCTTCCAATCTTCTCGGTCATTAACGACCGGGACTGGTATTTCGGGACGTTGGTCCACAACGGCCCTTTTGAACTCGACACATTGCCCGAGTCCTTGGTCATGGTTGAAGCTCATTCCTCCGAAAATCGATTCTGATCCTTCAAGCTGTACAGCTGTCCTTATTGTGGTTGGCAGCTTCCTATTAATGTCGATATTTTCATAAACATGAATAAATTTTTGTGCAAAGAGGAAATATATTTTACAGCCTTGAATTAATGCTGAGAATCCCCGCGCTCTTTGGATCGTTTTTTCAACTTGTATCATGGCTACATAATGGGGTTTCCCTTGAAACCGATTCCAACTTGTACTTAGTAAACGGCGAACTATTGAAAGTAATCAATGGTTATTGCGGACAGAGAAAGAAAGTTCTCGAAGTTTCTAAGTAAGCTTGAAACAATACTGTGTTCTACCTTTACTATTACGTTGCTTAATGAATTACCGTGTTTTCTCCATGTCTGTCCGAATTCTTAATCTACTTAGTAGAAGCAAAGGCGGTTCCGTTTTCGGTCTCTCACGGGTCCATTGCTTACAGTATTTCCATACACATTACACTCGCAAATTAACTACATCGTACAACAATGAATAAAAAGCATCTTTTTGTTCTATATATATATATAGGTTATATAGCATCACGCGTAAATAATAGTCAAAATATCATTTATAGTATTTTCTGTATAAGGTAGCCTAATGTAAACAATACAGTCTAAATAGAGAGCCTTGCCGATTTACTTTAGAGTTACAACGGCGTCCGCTTTCTCTGCGAGCTTCTAACCCAGAAGTAAATTACTCCGCTAGGGCTGCATTTACAAGATCAACTTCAACCCTTTCTGCTGCTTGTACAGCGACATTTTATGGCCTGACCAGTATACATGATGTTGCCTATGGCCAGAAAGGTCTGGCAAACAGAGGTGAAAATGGGAGGCTGGGAGCTATAACTACTTGGAATCCTGAAGCTCTGTCGGATCTCGTTCCTCTGTCCCGATTTAGAAATCTGTTATTTTCGTCGCGCTCCACCCGAGAACCAACAATGGCTGCTTCCTGCAAGGTTGATGCTAGTCTAGTGGGCTTTAGAGATCTCTCTCAGGCTCCTTTCTCTGTCTGCGTGGCTATCGCTCTACAAACAAGCGAACGACTTCTCATTGACGCTAGTCGTCCCAGCACCTCTCGCATATTTTGTTAGCATCTATAGTTGTCTTTGCCTATTTAATAGCACCAATAGAAGCAGGGATAACAGCAAAGGTAACGGTCGTGAGTGCTGCGCAACTTCTGCGCCCATAGCAAAAGCATTTACACTTACCTACAGAGGGGGCGTGACCAATGGCTGCGATTGCCGAAATAATGTATTAACTGTTCCGGTGAACGTGAGAAAAAACCCTATATGATTGACGTTTATTTGAGGAAGGTCTCACATCTTTGAGTATGAGATCTGAAGTTACTCCGAGAAGTTTCCGGCTGATCCTCCATAAAAAAGAATGCTTACTGCTCCCTTATGAGATCTTCTCGTACTGCTATAGACCAGAGCACAAGAGGAACGGTTTTATCGTAGCTGCTGTCGTTCAGATGGAACAATATAGGTAATAGTATAGAAATAAACACAGTAACGTAAGAAAAGATTAGATTTCCTCTGCTCATCCGAAGCACGGTATGTACTAGACACCCAGCATTTCAAATTATTATTTTTTTTTGTGGCAAATCTTATTTCAAAAGAAACGAGAAGGAGAAATCAATATGTTTCTTATAAATATGATGGTATCCTCGAGGTTTATCAGTTCATCCGTTGAGATCCTGATTAATAAAAGGCAACTGAAAGGATAATCACCCCGTACTATTTCCTGCGCCTGTTTAATTGGTATGTTGGTCGATATGTGGGCGACACTCCTCAGAGTTAGAAGGAGAGCTCGACCCTTGACTGTGAGGTATATTTAACTAAGTGAGATTTTCGAAATCTAAATTGGCCAAGGAATGACTGGTAGGCTATTTTCTATTAGTCATATTATAAGCAACATTGAATGGACAAAACTTGTTCAGCTCACTTTAACTACTCACAAGGTAACAAACAAAACTTTCTTTCGAATTGTATATGCCTCGAATCGCGCTAATACGACACATAAGTCTTAAGTTTCAGAACTACCATGTATTGATGTCGACCGACTGGCTCCTTTCTGGACGTGAACGTGACTGATTACCTGCTGCTTTTGATTTTCTAGTTCAAGAACGCTGACGCTGTGTTTAACTTGGCCTGTATTTTCCAGCTTCTCGGCCATAATTCCTTTGACCTATTGTATTGGCTCTTAAAAAGAGATGGCACACGCTACTATATCGAGTAACTGGCTAATGATATATAATAATATAGCTATTATCGCTTTTTCCCTGACGCTTCATGTGGAAGCGTCTCTGTTTTCACCACTACCACATGAGTCTTCTATCTTATCAGTGTTGTTCTCAATAACTGAAATTGTTTATTCTTTGTTGCTCATATCTGGAAAGCGACTTTTCAAGCTATTCTTTCTCTACTCCAAGCTTGCTGTCTGTCTTCTTCAACTGACCGTTTACGCATTTAACAAGCATTTATCAAACTCGAAACATGAGGCCAATGTTACCATTGTTTTGCTGCGTAGTCGCACAGATCTGCTCAATTTCGGGTCGCGTCAGCAGCTTCGATACAACTACGTCGTATTAACTCGAATAAAGCGCTTCTGCGGTGTGACCACCTATAACAACAAGGGGCAGAAACACTTTATGGAATTGCGGCCTCGATAAACTCGAAGTGTGCCTATTTTCCGTAAAATACTTCGTCAGCCGACATCTTGTATCGATTCGACATCAAGATACTGGACAGTTTTTACTCAGGGAGGAAGCGGAGCAGCATCGCTGACTGTATCCACTATGCGAAACGTACCAGTTCGAATTTTATGTACTATTACACGCACTAGCAAAAACGGTTTTTAGCTCAGTATACCTAAAACTGCTAGTTTTCGCACTGTCATCCATCTTATCGATGCTCTGAACTCAAGCCATCTTTCGAACTATACGTGTAACTTAACTCGAACCTGTACGCGCCGTAGTGCTCATGCCGGTTGTTGTCTTATTTTCAAATGACCACTCTATTGTTTCGTTGTCCGCTGTTGAATCACTATTGACTCCCAACAGCCCAAGATTCAACGCAATTATCAGCTGAGAAGTCAACTGCTAAACTTGACAATAGGAACCAGTGTCGAAGTGTCCTTAACGGCAGACGAAACTATCTATCACAGAAAACTGTGAGCTATGCTGCTTATGCCTATGGATTCCAGCTGCGATAGTTTAATTTTCGTTTACCGAGAAAAAATCTTCAGGGGAGACTGTCGTAGCTTATAGGTGATTATAGTATACGCAATACAATCTTTGATGATTGATTCACCTAACTGGTGCTGACGCATTTAATGCCTTTTTAGAAGACTGCCTAGACGTCACATTTCGAATAAGTTCGATAACTTATTCGTTTGTTGCAACTTGAGTGTGACTTGGATCACATTGACGGAAGAAGCCTATCAACTGTCTTTGTGCCGAAAGAAGTAGTCTTTAAAACTAGTTATGCTCCCTATTCCTTACTGAATTACTGAATGGTTACTGAATTTAACCACACTTAAATAGTTATTCAGTTAAATCCCATAGATTTAGACGAATCGTAGCAATTATTTAATGCTAGATAAGTAAATCACAGCAACTGATTTACCTTTTCCTCCAGTATCCAACATTGAGTTAACTGTAGGTAAGAAATGAATTGCACGACACAATCGTCTAATTTGTCCCCATCCGACAGCTTATCGAACTACGATAAGCTGTCGGATGGGAGCGCGCGAGAAACTGACTTTTCTATTGAATTGAAATAAAGAGCGGTTTCGGTATTTTTTTTTACCTAACAGAAGCGCAGAATTTCATTCGAATTCTAGCTAGAATAGATAGATTGACTATGTGTCCGGTGGCATTCTTTATGACTTTCTTCCTATTCGCCAATCGACTTATGTATCCTTTTTCGTCAGAATTTCTCGAGTGTGGTGTTGAAAGAAAATTACTATTTTTTTTTTTTAAGATTTTAAGATTTTGTTCATTATATTATGTACGGTTACGAATTTCATTTGTTAGTGACCGGAAAACGTGAGGATCCGTTAAAGCGAGGTTTCGAGAATATGGCGGGTACAAAAACGCCTTGCACGTAGGCTCTTAAAAAGCGGCTTAGCCATCGTTGCCATGTGCTGCCTGTCCTGGAGAAAGATAACCTTACCTCACCGATTGGCTCTTCTCTACTGAATTGCCTCGTTCACTAAATTCAGCTTGGCTATATACAGATCCCTGTCGACCGCCGTATTCCTCTTAGAAGTTCCCAGTGTATAAAGCGCTTTTAGTACCATCGAACGCAAATCATCGTTCTCTTGCGATAAAGATCTAAATTAGTTTTGAGCTTGAGCGTATCGGACGGAGCATCTCTTTCTGTTTTCTACCGACGTCGGAACACCATTCTCATCACCGGTGGCAGTTTTACGTAGAAACCTTTCATTGTCGCGGCATGTTGCTCGGTGCCGGGCAAGACGTTGAGAGGTGATGAGAAGCCGCGCTCCTATGCGATGCCATTTCAGCATATGGGGCATCCGTGCTCCTAATTATTGAGCAAATCCCATAGATCTAAGCTGCTTGTCGACAGTCGTGTAACTGCAATCTATTTTCTCGTCCAGTTCATAGATTGCTTGCCGGTCGTCCTTCTTGAAAAACACTTTCGATTGACCCTCAGATGGCCAACGGACACGGGGCCTACCCTCCGCTTACAAGATGCCAATCTTGAACCTAACGAAACATTTTAAACGGTTTCTTTAGTTATAGCGTTTTCACCGTATACGGCACAAAGTCAGTGCTGCTTTGATCTTAACGAGGTAGGGTGTGTGTCAGAAAAGCTCTTTCAAGTGGTGTATAGAAATGAACGGTAGAGAGATCTAAAGGAAAAGCAACATTAAAAACAACCTAAAGCTACTTATGTGCCAATACACACATACCTATAATAAGAGACATCTGTTAATAAGCAATCCGTCGACCATAGTTCTGTTTGAATATCGAATATGGTGACCAGTAAGCTATTTGCAGTTTGACCTTTTGTCAGACACCCTCACCTTGACTTATAAAGCATGTTTGTATAATCATAGAAGCACCTCTAAGCTATCTCTGTTAGAAAGGACAGGATTGACAAGGGCGCGCGCATATCAGAATTAGATCACCCTAACTGATACTGCGATTCTCATGAGGCGTAGATTAATAGTGGAGTTATAACGTAGTAATTGACAATCATAAGTAACACCAAAGAAAACAAAAATAGTTTAGAGTAGCTTAGTCATAATTTATCAATTCAGCGCAAAGCCACCGGTGAGAGATAACAACTTAGGTACACGCGAGTCATAAGTTCTCAATTATTACGTTACTTAACGTGATTAATGCAAGCACAAACCAGGACGAGGCTCTCACAGTTGAGCACCCGGAAGTTTTCAAGTTACAGCCTTAACCCGATGGAACATCTAACATGAGCGCGCGCGCGCTAAACGGATCGACGTTCTTTAGATAGTGTATATACAAGGTCCGAACTTAATCAAAGACGAATGTTAAGAGATGAATGTTGATATCAGCAGTGAAAGAGGAGGGTTTGCAGTATGTATAAATAAGGCAATAAAAATCCAGCTGGGGTGACAAAGGAGCCAACAACAAATTCGCTCAAATCATTAGCGTTTACAAGGATGCGCTTAGCTTAGGACTGCACTACTTTTTTTTTGTTGCAAATTTCTCCGCTTTTCAGATGCATACAAGCTAGAAAATAATTCATTTGAGAAGAACCAGAACCGTTTCAACAGCGGACGCGTTCATTGTCAGAAAAAGATGTTCCAATTTAGCCCAGACCTTCTTAGAGTGGAACGACAACATCCGCAATGTGAAAATTAATTTACGGTGAAAATTAGAGACGCGCAAAAATCACTATAAAAAATCGATACCGTTTTGCAACATCTACATTGTATTGACATTACTAAATGGTAATGAATAGAAAGGGTTAACTCATGGAGACGGAAGATCTCTATTTAAAAAATAATGATACAATGAGTTTTTTGCCAGGTCACGCACATACAGGATCATACACTATCGAATGATATACTTCCGAGAAGATCAAGCTCATGCCACAACACTCAGTTAACTATGAACGTTCGTTTGATTCGCGACGATGATGCCCCAATAAAAATATACTCAGATACGATGTTTGTTTTGCAATAAGCGCCTCATACTGTTCTCACAACGCACGAAGTAATGAGATGCGCGCCATAAACGTACGATAAACTAGTAAATCCGCTGTTCGTATTGCCACGAGTCCATACACTAACACTGACGATTGATGGCAACAGGCCGAAAGTGAGCTTTTGATCCTCTTGCTATTGTGAGAAACGAGGTCGTTAGTAAAAAAGAAAATATTATGATGATAAGGCAAGGTTTCGGGGAATCGATCATCGATACCTGAGTAACTAATCAGAAAGAGAGCCTACCATCGTCCCCGAAGTAAAATTTTATTAATCGTAGAAATATATTGTATCTCATGTATGAAAGCCATTCGAAAACATTGAGACGTTATTAAAGCTAATAGGAAGTGTGTATTGACTATGTATTCCCAATATATGTGCAGCTTAACGTTCGGAAATGATTTGTATATCCCCGATTCATTCTCAGGTATATCGTAGTAGTGATTCACCGAAGATGTTCATGCCGCATTGTTATATGAAAATAGTTTTTACTTTTTCTACACTAATAAAATAAGGCTTACGATCTCCCATTTATATAACGCTATATAGTGTGATCTCCCTACACTCACTGGCTGAAGTTATTGTTATGACGCATAGTGCGGTGGTATATTTTTCTCCCATCAACAACACTAATCCAGCATGCATTTCATGTAACAATATTGTGGAGTAATTGAACGCCGATCTATAAGCCCCAGTGGAAGTTAACTAGACTATTGTGGATCAAGATCTTTAGAGCTCGCACCGCTCTCGTAAACGACTAGAAATGCTTTTATAATAATTGCTTTGGGTATTCTTTTTCACGCACGCAAACTGCAGCGGTCCTTCCAAGCTGGCCGATTTCATCAAATTTAATGTATGACGTTAGTCTTTTGTTTAGATCGTCCATTAATATGGAGTGGAATATATCAGTGAGGCGCTTCGATTCGATATGAGTCTCACTATGAACACTTAACCGATACGACCAATGTACTAAATAAAAGTGTAGCCTTTTGTTTTCCGAATCTCGTAACCGAAATACGATTGTGACGAAGACTGATTGGGGCAGTCTTCTTGATGCATAGATACATATCTACTCATTATGTTATTTGTATAATTGTGGGATGGGAAATTTGGTACCGATGCACGCTGCTTCAGTGCTGCTGTGAGCCATGAAAGACAGCTTGAAAATATATCATATTAGTAGCGGTATTCCTTTGCGAAAACAAAAGAGAAAATGACATTTTCTATTGTTATTAAGCTTATTAGATTCCCGGGCTTGCGTAGCTTATAGATAGCATCTTATTATTCTGTAGTCCTTTTTTTCATATGGAGCGCTGTAAGACATTTTTTTCTAAGACGTCTGCTAGTTTTTCTCTGCTCGATTATGGAGTATGGTAACAATGTCTGCGGCTATATTTAGATCAACGCTATCGGAGAGCATCGATTTGCATTGGAACTGAATATTTGCAACAAAGATGACTGTGTTAGGCGCCTTCTAGATATGCCTAATACCATCTGAGTTTATTTGATATAATTGGAGGTCGGGTAGACATATAATTTAGCCTTATAATTTATGACGATTATATTTAAAAACATATTTAAAAAGTAAAATAACCCTGCATGTGAGTAAGACTCACACAACCACTAAACAATAGTCGTGGATGAAATCGTTCAGCTTTCAAAACGTTTCCCTGCTGCAGTAATGGTGTGGTCTTAGGTCAGAAACAACTAGGTATACGTACCGGCTTTCGGACTGGAGCTCCATGCTAAACTTCAGTGATATTTCAAAAAGCTATTCGACCTCACAAGGCCAACTCACTGCACCGTTACGCTTGACCAGCCTGAGTACCGTTCCACTCGCCACTTTTCGTATATTCAAGTCTAACCCATACCACTATACCGTAGGTTGTTTTCGTTGGGCAATTTTAGCATTCGCAAAAATGGGACGCAATTTTTTACACTAATTAAGTACACCCGCTATTGTCATTTCTTTACACAATGATTTTTATGTTGCTTATGACATTTTGTACTCTCTTTGTCATATTTATAGGGGAGTGACTTAAACTGGCCACATGCCTACCTAAACAGCCAGTCCCTCCGTTCAAAATATGCTTTCAACGAAAGCATCCCTATTATTTTTACCTGACACAATAAACAAAGGTTGGAGTGACGCAGGGGATACGATAAAAACATGCCGTTTTATGACGAAAACAGCTACAGATATGGCCTTCACAGTATGCGATAACAATTTGCGGCTTTTATCCGACGAAAGCTTTTAACAATCGGTACTTAAAAGCCGGCAGAAAATGCGCAGGCAAACTTAAAAGAAGCCGAGACGACGGTTTCAACTATTACTTAAAGGTCGTTATAAAATAGTGCTTCCGCACTAGCTAGACCACCAACACTGTGCTAAAAGATAGTGCAGGATTGAAACGGAGCAATATTTTTCCATTGAGGCCTTTCATTCAACCATATTGAATCACAACGAGTCCAAATAGTCAGACGCCTTGATAAGAATTTCGGAAACATTTTTCAATTAATCTACGCCGGGTGTTTTTGAATTTTTAGCAGCATTAGAATTTACCTGACTGCTAATTTTCGCTCCCAACCTATCATTGGCCTCTACTTGAACGAGACCGCGGATCGCTATTTCAAATCCTGCCATCGACACATTACGATCCAATCAGCGCAAAAGAAAAAGCTAACGTACTACAGCGAAATTATAGATTAATTAATTAATGAAATACGTTATAATTACCAGAAGCTAGCAAGGAGTCGAGAGTAATCGTGTGACTAATACTAGAACAGTTCGGGTGTGCTGCTTAGGTGTAATTGTGACCCATAAAGGCGGTGATAATGAATAAGGTTGTTTGTTTCATTCGCCTCCCTCCGTATTTGCACTGTTTTCAAGCTTTTTGTTTCAAGTTGTTGATTCGTTTTTTTTTTCGTATTGCTAATATTCATGCGCATATTGAACCCTATTGGTAATCTTCAAATATTGGTTATGTTCAATAAGAACTCTGCTCGTGTCAGTATCAGTTAATAGTACGTCACATGTCAAGCCTCTCTATAAAAAATACATTGTTAAACTGCACCGGTAAGTTTTTGCTTCTGTATGTTAATTTTCCCTCTGAGTATTTATACAGCATACGTATGCATATACAAATATGCTCTCATCGGAAAGCCTTCAGGGTGGCAAAAGAAAATGTTCTGAATAGATACGTAGGTAAGATTGATCAGAGCAGAAGGATCTAAGAAACACCAAGGAGCAGAAACCATCATATCTGCCGAGAATCGAACAAAATAGCGGTCGATAAATTATGGACTTCGTCGCGGTGGTGGTCAGCAATGCCTCAGTATCTGTGTAAGTTCCATCGACATCTTCGAATCAATTATCCATATCATAATTATCTACTTTGCCCTTATCCTAAAATTAAAATTTCTCAACGTTCTTCTGAGATGATGTATAAGTTTTAGACTTGTAGTAGCCAGGATATCAGTTTTAAGTGACGCTCAGAGCGAACATGTTTGATATCTGATTCACATGGAGAGGCCTATTGGCCATAAACCTAATACTGCGAGATTGATCATTTTTCGACATCCTCTCGGCTGAATGACAGCCGATCTCAGTCTTGCCCGCAACTATAGTTTACAAAGAACATGCGTTCAGTCTCGAAGTATTTTGGTCAAAATATATTGGACTAATATGTATAAAAAAGCCTAATTTGTACCATAATATAGCTGTTTCAGAACAAAAAAAACATCACTAGCGCAATTAGGCAAGAAAGCACTAGACCGTTCGCGATATTATTCTGCATCCTGTTTCAAGTAGCTTGCTTTATACACTTACCTCTTATTTTACTTCATTCTAACAAAAGTTGCGATGTAAAGCAGCAGATAGTTATTCTCTCGAAACCGTTGTATGTGCTCTTAGGTTCGGGTTCATGTTTTTTGATGTTGGGCTCTCTTTCTTTGTTTTTAATTACGGGCCTACATTTTGCGTGGCGCTGTCTAGAAGAATGGAAAGGGAAACGACTCATTGCACATCCATAAACAGTTCTGCAGTAGCAGACAGCCTGATCGCGCGTTGGCTGGACGGCAATAATTGAAAATGGTTTACGGAGAAATAAGGATGCAATGCTTTGCTGTCCTTGTGCTGACAGGAGTAGTACAATAATAGTATATTCACCACTACTTCTGTGATTATTTATAGCATTTTACTAGGTGCCCTTTTTCCATGAGCACATCGCTCCGTATACTTGAGGTTTAATTAAACGGTCACTAAAGATACTTCTAAGCAGAAAGCAAAGTAACAATGATATTCAGTAAGCGAAATACAACAAAATATTGTTCATTCTCAAAGTGCTACGACGCACAATACACACTTTCTATATTAGGCCCACTTGGCCAGTTGCAATGTCCTTAGGTAAAAGGTCGTTTACCATCCTTGTGGAGGTATAGGTAGCAGGATTTAAGGCTGCAAATGCACAGTTATGTTGCAAATGTAGATACTTTTCTACATAGAATTACGTATATTGAAGGCATTCCTTTGTTCTAGGCTCAGAAAACTGATTATTAAAGCTCATCTTTATTGATACGTATGCTGTATTTGAATTCTTTTTCTCTCATAAAGTGAGTCGTTACATGCTATGCCGAAGGGAAGCTTCGCGTTAATGTGCGTAGATTTCAGGTAATACCATACATATATCATTTTTGTCGCTACATGGCAAATAGTTATCCTTTTATAGTTACGGCAAAGGAGCCGTTAAAAGGGAACGACATATACGCTTCCAATTTTCTGGGATGTCAAAACAATAATCCTATAGATGTCCATAATGCGTTTCTTTTTTACACACCTAATGACACGCATTGCAGTTAAAATAGGCTCCTCGCTCTATTTTTCCTATAAAAGTTAAAATTGGTATAACAGGCGGTTTCACCGTCATGGGACAAGCCGGTAACGTGCTGCGTTTGATTGGTCGGTAGATCGTTTGGGGACCTAGTATATGGACATTTTCAAGCGTAAATGGGTTGAACAGAGGAGTAACCCACAATTGTTTATACTTCGTTAATATACTTTGCTCCGGCACTATCAACATAATAACCGACATCGAGTCTTCCTAGTAAATAATCATTATAATAATTAATAACCTCGGAATTATTTTATATCCAATTCTTGCTACAAATAAAAATGCTTCCGTCAAGTACGTTATATATATAGTATTAAATGAAAAAAAAATATATGTACATATGTCAATTAAATTTCCTACCATATGTCATAATAAGATGTTGCATATCCATCTAATCTAGTATGCTGTAACAATTGCTCACAAAATAGTGTTATTTTAGCTTCCCCATAATACTCTACCACTGAAAAACTATAGAATAAATAGTTAAAAATAATCAATAAAATTAAGTGTGCTGGCGAATATCGTAATATTCTTATTAGATCATAAGTTTTTCATAGTTTCTTCTTGATAACGTTTTTAGGTCACACTGAATGATTACTGTTTATAACTATAATTAAAATTCGATAAAATTAATTACGGCAGCAATTTTAGCTTTGCGCAACAATTCATTAAAACTCTAATCAGGCATTAATTTTTTTCTAGTGCTTTGTTGCATTTGTTGTTATCATTGGACGAGACACTGATCGAAGATTCTACGAAAATTACATCGGATCTTTGATGACTGCTAGAGCCTTTCCTAGATTGCTCATATATTCCCTAATTTCGGAGTGCAACAACAACAACAACAACAACAACCCATCTGTAAGCTCTACTTTCCGGTTTGCTAGGGGCATCTAAAAAGTGTTTTAAGCTGGTGGCAATGTACGTAATGACATCCGTCCATTTCTTGAAAAGGGGGCGAAAAAGACCGGGCTAGTTTGTCGGAAGCCACTCATTCAATGGTCAACCAGTTTTCTTTTATCATTGTTAATGTTGAAAATATTAGACCCCCCCCCCTCGTCCCCAGAACGCCTTTTTATCAGTTGGTACCTTATATGGAAGGTCACGGTCATTTAGTTTTAACCCCTTCATGTATCGGTCACACTGATAGCAATCTCGCATTTAATATACGTAAAATATAAATAAAATACGTTTACCAACATACAGATTACTTACCTGCTTAAGCTATTTACGATCGGGACTTCAGACCTAGCACCCTGACGTCGACAAGGAAAAAATTCTATCAACGGAAGGTTCCTTAGATCCACAGGGCATTTTTTGTTACAACATAGATCACTATACGTCGAGAAATGAAACGCTGTTACGACTCTAAATGCTATATAGACGTTTGAGCCGACGACGTTATATATATGACCATACCGCTCAAACCTTAGCATTGTTATGTTGCTGAACTAATACACTGCTATTTACAACAAACAAATGCATTAAATTAAAAAAAAACAAATATCGTCTTTTCAGGTTCAACTTAACGTTGAAAGGTAGAGAGATGTTATTCCTATCCAAGCTCTTCTTTACTACTGTCATGAGATAAAATAGTGCGATGTTTTTGTTTATGTTTGCAAACTCCGCGCATTTTTGGGAATAATGCTCTTTTTTCCTGAACGACCTACTAAAATGAACAGAGTTCGAAGATGGTTTGCAATAAAGCCTTTTGCCCCGACAAGCCTCGCCTATTGCTGTTTAGCGATGATACGGCTAATGTTGATGTTACAGGAACCATTGGGAAGGGCACAGATACTGCTAATCCCCTCAGAATATCTAACACACCTGAGCAATTGAGCTAACATCTGAAACCCTCAGCGTGAATATATACCCATGGTTTGGCCGCTTATAAGTAGCCGCCGGGCGCTCAGTCCTAAAGCAACTGCATTATATAGTGGTACTACCAACGGCACATATAAAAATTGTAGAAGATAAAAAAAAATATACCATAATACCTGTTTCGGACTTAGTTTCTCTGCTGCATGTGCTGATGCTTGTCGGCTTTCCTATACTTTATATTAATTAAAGATGCCGGGAGCAATATAACAATGGAAGTATCTTAATGCATTTCAAGGGAAATTCGGTATACGTTAAAATAATACCTAGAATTCAACATGGCATTTAATCGTCTGGTACAAGAGTGACCTTCTTTTCAACTGATCAAATTCTCATCCACTTAATAACATTTTACATAAATTAAAAACTTCGTCCAAATAACACTTCAAGTTCATATCGCTATAAACTATTCTATTTGACTCTGCTGGACGTGTCACTATCATTCTACACGTATGTGAGTTTGTGTCTAGTTTACTGCAGTCAACTATGGAGGAGGTGCTTGTTTTTGTTTGTTACAATTGGTCATTCGAAAAGATTACTAAAGTCGGATTGAAGGGCCCGTTTTGCTACTCCTTTTACTTAAGCTTTTCGCATACAGCACATTGGCCTTTCTAATGAGCGCTGTCAACAAAAGTTTCTTAAGAGGGAGGTCAAAGTGATGGTAGGCCACGTCACCCACGCCAGAATGTCCGCCCGTAT